TGGCTACAGCAAGTGAAATCGGGGGCTTACAGGCTGCCGCTCACTGTGTCCTCGCAGCCAAGGACCCAGGGAGCAGCCTACCTATTTGCAGCTGGTGCCGTGGTTTTTTTTTTTTTTTTTGTTTTGTTTTTTTTTTTGTTTTTTTTCCGTCTGGCCCGGATACATGTCTTCGGCAGGCCTTAGTTTGAGGACCCCTGCTTTTAAGGCATTTTATAACCATTACCAAAATCTGCGTATGCAGGTATGGGATGTCTGTATATAGTAGCAAGCTGTGCAGATTTGACCAGAATTGAATACCCTTGCTATAAGCTGGCCATACACTACCATTTTACTGTCCAATTTTGCTTTCAGGCTCATTCACACTAGTGTGATGGTGTTGTGTTCACAGCACACGCGTTCTCATGCATTTTGTTTTTTGTTTTTTCTGTGTCCAAAGGGCAGAGAACGTAGGTTACATAGTTTTCGATGGCATAGTTAACACCAGTGCTTGCAGTTCCAGTGCATTCCGCTTCCAGAAATAAAAGTAGAATGTACTCGTTTTTCCTGCACCAAACTGTACTGGAACACGGTAAAACGCACCGGACCCCAGTACAGGAAAAATCATCTGTATCACATCCAGAAAAGCCCTGGAACACATCAATAGCGTGTTAAAACCGAGCATGCAGAAATGCATCCGGAACTGATCTAAAGTGTGTTTTTGTGCTGTGAACCGGCCGTTAACGCAATCCAGCGACACCTAAAAAGAGAAAAAATTGCTTTGTATGTGTTTTGTTCACACTACAACGCTATGTTGACTTGACATGTATGCATTTTAACACAACGCAGGTCACCGCAAGTAAGAAAAAAAGTTTGCTTTGTAGTTTGTGGCTCACAGGATGTGATGTCGCGGGAAATCTGGCAAAATGCAGTGCATTTTAACATGCACTAAAATGCATATCAATGCATGTTGAGACGTGCATAAAATGGGTGGAAATGTACATTTTCCCTGTGTTTTATTGCAAATCCGTGTAATTTGGGCCTAACGTTTACCCCTGTACGGTGCTGTATTACTTTAACCGACAATTGCGTGGTCATGCAACGTTGCACCCACATGAAATTTACATCTTTTTATTTTTTTTCCCCCACAAATAGAGCTTTCTTACGGTGGAATTTGATCACTTGTGCATTATTTTTTGCGCTATGAACAAAAAAGACCGACAATTTTGAAAAAAAAAACCAATATTTTTGACATTTTGCTATTAAACATGTCCAACAAAAAATGTAAATCAAATTTTGTCATAAATTTTGGCGAAAATGTATTCTATGTCTTTGCCTAAAAAGAAAAATTCCAATGTGAGTAAATTGGTGTATGTGAAAGTTATAGCGTTTACAAATGGAGGTATATATGCTGGAATTTTTTTTTGTTTACTAGTAATGGCGGCGATCAGCGACTTATAGCGGGACATCGGCGGGAATTCTGACAAGGGGGGGAACTGACTTGGTGTCACTGACATCCCCAGTGATAACAATAAAGTGATCAGTGCAAATAAAAAAGCACTGACACCGTACTAATGGCACTAGGCAGGAAAGGGTCAACACCTGGGGTGATCAAAGGGTTAACAGTGTGCTGTTTCACATTGTGCTGTGTGTGCTTTTCAACTGAAAGCACACTGCTTTGTATAACTCTGCTATGTAGAGCCAAACAAAGCAGTGTGCAGGAGCTGACAGCGGTGAGAACTGTTTTATTTACATACAGTTCTCTCATCCATCGGCAATCACTGGGTGCTGGTGAGTAATCACCAGCCGGAACCTGGTAATGACAGCCGAGGCCGCATATATACGTGATTTTGCACACCCATGCCACCCTGTAGCAGTATTTCTGCTGTAGGGTGGACGAGAAGCTGTTAATAGTTACTTTCCCTTAGTAGCTGATTAATAGCCATGTGTGGATTCTAAAACCGTTAGGCTACATTCACACTAGCTTTGTCAGAAAGCGTCAGACAGGTGTTTGGAAAGCGTGTTTTTAATGCTTCTCAAACGCCTATGAAAATTCTGCACATGGCAGCACACAGTGCTGTTCAAACTGAAGCGTTAGCGTCGTGGGAAAACTGAAGCCTCATGTTGAGTCAGGAGGAGTTGAAGCCTCACATTCAAGCCTATGGTGCTGCTCCTCAAAGGCCTGGCAGGTGTTTGTGAGACGGTTGCAGAGTGCTAATACCCTTTAACTTCATTATAGGCGTTAGTGGTGCGGTTTTAACGCTTGGCAATATAAGGGCTCGTTCACACTTGACTTATTTCTAACTCTTGCCAAAGGCCCCTATGGCGTTTGACAGGCGTTTGGCGATTGGGAAGTGTTTTTAATGCTCCTCAAATGCCCTATGCGCAGTTTTTTGAGGCGTTTGAGAAAACGCTTCCCAAACGCCTGTCTACCACCTGTCAAATGCTATAGGGGCGTTTGGCAAGAGTTAGAAATAAGTCAAGTGTGAAGGAGCCCTTATATTGGTTATGCTTGGTCCAATGTAACTATACATATTCCATACATGTGGAATTCCTGTGAAAACTGACAGTTGCTGTAGTAATTGTTGCTACTACAGTGATTGCTGTGGTCTTCTGGGTACCATGCCAAGTGGCTGCCTTGTTGTATAATAACCACAGGTGGTAATTTGTAATTTGCACAGTACAGACACCACTCCCAAAACACTTTTTTTTTTTTTTTTTTTTTTTTGTGTGCATTGAATGCATGGTGTTCTCTGATTGGACTTGGTGAATATCGTGGTGTCACCTCTCCACCTAGTCCAGTCGGAGAATGCCCCACATTGCTGGCTTTGAATGACACCCCATCTTCCCCCTCACCTGTGGTTACTATGCAGCTGAGTGCAAAACTGGTAATCACAACTGCAGTGATTCCAGCTTCCACAGGCATGTCACAGGTATGGCATATGCATACTTACGTTGGTCCAATCTGGTCCATGCTATAAAATCCATACCTAGAATTCAGCTTTAAAGTTAGTTTAATCACTATATTTTGCCTCCCCTGGTTCTGCTTTCCAACCTTTATCAACACGCTAATGATGTGCTTAAAGATACAAGTACGTCTTCTGCTTAAAATAAATCTGCAAATTTTGTCATATTAAGACTTGTCTGTTTAGTGTTTAGGCACAAAATACCTGTTAAATTCTGTGACATCATATCTTGCATCTACAGCTGGGTACCTGGAGAAGAATTGAGGAAGTGGTGTCACTTCTACTCACTGTACAGTGCCACTTTTAGAAGCAATTCTTGTCTTGCTTTGGGAGTTTGTTATAAATGGGAGTAAATGTATTGGGGTTAGGGGTGGATTGCTGATTCGGACAATGCCTGGATCGGCCACCCACCCATAAGCGACGCAAGAATAGCGGATGAGTAAGACAGTCTGAAACCCTCAGGTTTTCCGATTTAGAGAGTTTTAACCTAATTATGTTGTCTCTAACTGACAATAGTACTACACATGGGATGTTGCAAGATTGATGGCTGGGGCAATAGTGGATGTAGCGGCTGCTCTGTGCAATATTGCTGTTTGCAAACATGGAGGTGCTGCTTAAAGCAGGACTCCAGGAATGTTTTTGCAAACATACATTGGTAAATATCCATATCTGATTGGCTGCTGAGGATTTAGAAGACCACTGTAGTTCTCTGTGCTGTGTACAGTGATGGGCATGATTTTGTGGGTGCTGTTCCACTGCCTTCTCCTCTGCACACTGACCACAAGGGGTCCCTCACTTGCACTGCCACCAGTTCCATCTGCAGAGATTAATGCCAATTTAGACAATGAAGGCATACCTTTCATGCTGATGAATGTTTTCTAAAGGGGTTTAACAGGCCTCTTATCCTAGACTTTGTGGGTGGCCAGGGAGTTTAGAAGGGTTATCAATTCACACCCCAAGAGTTAGGAAATGAAAGGGGAGAATTGGCATACTTTTCTATTGCTGCCTACACTGTAGCTGGTAGGAGTTCATTCCTTGTTAGGATCCTTGAGTGCAGGAATGCCCTTCCATTACCCTAGTGGTTTCACTGTTAATGTGAGCTATGATGGATCCACTGTTATTATATTATTATACAGTATTTATAAAGCACCAACAGTTTGCTCAGCGCTGTACATTACAAAGGGAGACAATACATGAGACAGTACAATAACAATACAGTGCGATACATGAGGGCCCTGCTCCTTGGAGCTTACAATCTAGGAGGGAGGGGATAGTGGTACAGGAGGAAAAGCATTAGGAAAATTATGTTAGAGGTAGACCACTGTATGTCAAAAATACCTTCCATATGGGAAAAAGTCTAGTACGTAATTGGGAGGTTTTTAGGTTATGTTGGGATGTTTCAGATTCCCATAGAGGAAAACCTAGAGCAGATACAGTGAGAAGGTCTTTGCAACTCTAGGAACGTTCTAAAATAGTTTGTTACTTCAGTTGGTCAAAGTGGTTGTTTATGTCTGGGGAAATTGCAGAAGACTGGGACTGCCTAGCAGCCTAAGGATAATCTTGTTGGGTAGAGAGAGGACTGACTCAGAAGTAGTCAGCTATATCACTGCATGTGATGATGCAGCGCCCGCTATGGCTGTGGGCTAATTGGCCAAATCTGCTGGGAAGTGCACCAGGATCTGGGTGAATTGGGCCATAAGGGTCCATTCACACCAGATGCAGTGGGACTGCGCTTGGCAGTCATTCCAGCGCAGACCCACCACAGGACAAGGTGAATTGCCGTGTCTCTTGTGTGCCCGTTTCGCACCATTGCATTGCGGTGGTTTCAGCCACAATGTACTGAAAAAAGTAGTGTGTGTGTATGACAATTGCGCGGTCATGCAACACTGTACCCATATGAAATTTTTATCATTTTTTTTCGTGACAGAACTTTATTTTGGTGGTATTTAATCAACTCTGGGTTTTTTATTTTTTCTTAAACCAAAGACCACTGAAAATTTTGAAAAACATTTTTTCTTAGTTTTTGTTATAACATTTTGTAAATAATTGATTTTTCACCTTCACTGATGTGCGCTAATGAGGCTGCAGTGATGGGCACTGATAGGCTGCACTGATGGGCACTAATGAGGAGGCACTGGTAGGTGGCACTGATGGGCATTGACAGGCATCATTGATAGGTGGCACTGCTTGGGATTGATGGGTGACACTGAAAGGCAGCTCAGATGGGCACTGACAGCTGGCACTGATGAGGCCACACTGATCATCAGAGCACACTGATCATCAGTGTACATGTCCCCTCCGCAGAATGCCGATTACTGGCTCTCGTCTCGAGCTGTCAGCGTGACGGCTCGAGAGGAGAGAAATGCCGATAAGCTACATTTCCCTGTTTACATGTGATCAGCTGTGATTGGACACAGCTGATCACATGACCGAGCCGACATCTTCGGCTCTTTCCGTGGATCGGTGATCTGCTGTGTCCGAAAAGCATTGCACCCACAGTCCTGCAGGCTGCCTGTTTATCTGTGTGCCTCTGATACAGCCAGGCAGTTACACTCTGACAGGAAGAATCAGTGGACTACCAGAGTGCTCAACAGTGCCCTGGTAGTTCTGCCTGTCTGCTGGCCATCTCTTTCCACAACGTCCTGGATTCCATGCATGCTTTGCAGCTTCTCCTCTGCTGTTTTAACTTTCAATTTCTAAGGACTATGTATCACATGGTACCTTGGGGCCTGCAAGCAGTGATCATTATATTGACTCTGCCTACCGAAACTCCTCTCACCACCTCTGTAGTTCAGAGGCTAGGCTTTGTGAAATGTGTGACACAGCAGTGCCTACTCACAGGGCATAGATTAGGAGTCACAGAATTCAAGGAAGTAAATGTGTGGGGATCTTCAGAAAGTAACTTTACAAATTTCAGATCTTCAGATTAAAAGGAGCAGGCTAAACCCAATTGAAATACAAGGTGGAAATGAATATGGCTTTAAATCTTAAGCATTAGATACACATTAATGCATGAAACTTTATACTGTGACTGTATATTATTATTAGTATATCAGATTTATATAGTACCTACAGTTTACATAGCTCTTTGCAATATAAGGGGGACAGCACAATTACAATACAGTTCATTACAGAAGCAATTGGAGGACCTTGCTTGTTGCCTCAAAGCAGAAGAGTAGACATACCTTATAGCACTGCAAGCCACTCTAGAGTTGTCAGGACTGGTAGATGGTATAGCAACAGTCAACCACATCTAAGAAGATTTGTAAACTGGAATTGTGTAGGTTTATCTGCTTTGGTTTAGATATATATGAAAGCTTAAAGGATAAGTTCACCTTTGGGAACATGTTATGTGTTCCTCCTATTTTTAGAGTGGAACAAGTAACCTGTTCCCACTGCTGCAGCCTGCAACTGCTGCCCTCTCTCCCTGTGACAGCAGTATGGGGAGAAGTTCCCCATACTAGATGTCACTTTTTGAAAACAGTGTGACTGAGCGGGGCTCCACCTACACTACTGCGTCATTCATTCAAAGTTCTGTGAATGAATGAACTAAATGTGCCGACCCCCTTTGCAGCTGTCAACGTGTAGTTATTAATGAACTAACACGGCAATGTGGAGTGCTGTGGTAGTTCATTGATTCTTCCTGGTAAGAATGTATCTGCTTGCCTGTACAAGCACACAATATACACTGACAGGTTTGCAGGAGTTCTGCATGGCGTCAGCTATCTGCTGATCGCTGGTGAAATGCTTTCCAGGCTCCAAAAAAATAGTATTTTTTTTTCTTTCCTGCAGATACTGAGCATTTATTATTGATTTATTTTTAAGTGAACTTATCCTTTTAAAATAAACCTGTCATGCACTTAAAGCTGAACTACCCTGTTAAAATGCTTGGAAATCCAGAATATTTAAAAACAAATTTCAACTGAGTGTGTGGGTTTTTTTTTGTTTTCTTTTTTTTTCTTTTTTAGCTATGACAATTACTACGTCATTGTTATGGAAGATTTCTGGCTGAGACACTGAAAATATAAGTTAACACAGCAATTGCAGGAACAGATTCACAGAACACAATCTGTGGTTTAAAGTATCCAATCTGACAAAATGTATTATTGTATAGAAATATATTTACTGAGAAAAATGGCGATGCGCTCAATATTTATTTTACCCGATATATATTTACACACACAGTGTGGAAAATGAATTTTGATCCCCTGTAGATTTTGTATGTTTGCCCACTTACAAAGAAATGAAGGGCCTATAATTTTTCATAGGTGTATTTTAAATGAGAGGCAGAATATCAACCAAAAATCCAGAAAAAGCACATGATACAAATGTTAAAAATTGAATTGCAGTTCAGTGAGTAATACAATTATTTGATCCCCAAGCAAAACATGGTTTGATAGATACTTGGTGGAGAAACCCTTGTTGGCAAGACCAGATGTTTCTTGTAGTTGGTTACCAGGTTTGCTCACATCTCAGGAAGGATTTTGGTCTACTCTTCTGTACAGATCCTCTCTAAATCGTTGAGTTTTCTTGGCTGTTGCTTGGCAATTCAAAGTTTTGACTCCCTCCATACATTTTCTATAAGATTGAGGTCTGGAGACTGGCTAGGCCACTCCATGACTTTAATGTGCTTCTTCTTGACACTCCTTTGTTGCCTTGGAGGTATGTTTTGGGTCATTGTCATGCTGGAAGACTCATCTTCAATTTTCTGTCTGAGAGAAGAAGGTTCTCATCCAAGATTTTCTAGTATATGGGCCCCATCCATTAGCCCCTCAAATTGGCAAAGCCGCCTGTACCTTTAGCAGAGAAACAGCCCCAAAGCATAATGTTTCCACCTCCGTGCTTGACTGTAGGGATGGTGTTCTCTAGGGTCATAGTTAGCTGTTTTCTTACTCCGAACATGGCGAGCCGAGTTAGTAGTTGTAAAGGCTGAAGGTTTTTTACCTTCATGCATAGAATAAAAACCTTGTGTGCAGCAGCTCCCTCAGCCCCTCAATACTTGCCTAAGCATCATCGCAATCCAGCGATGTGAATGACATTCTCAGCTGCCCTGGGTCTCTGCCACCTCATTGGTTAAGACAGTAAGCTGGAGACAGTGGGTGCTCCCATAGCAAGCTGCTTGCTGTGGGGGCACCCGACAGACAGGAGAGCCTGTGGTGGACCTGAGAAGAGGAGCATCCAGGCTGCTCTGTGCACAGCCAGTAAGTATAGACATGTTGTTTTTATTTATTTTTTTAAAAAATTAACCTTTTAGAATCTCTTTAATCCCAAAGAGTTCAATTTTGGTCTCATCTGACCACGGCACTTTCTCCCAATCCTCCTCTGAATCATTTAAATTTTCATTGGTGAACTTCAGACGGGTCTGTACATGTGCCTTCTTGAGGAGGTGGACCTTGCGGGCGCTGCAGGATTTCAATCCATGATAACGTATTGTGTTGCCAATGGCTTGTTTGGTGACTGTGATCCCAGTTGCCTTGAAATCATTCACAAGCTTCTCCCATGTTCTAGACTGATCCCTCACTTTTTCTCATGATTACCCTGTTTTTCACATTTTAGAATGGGTACGGTTTTAAAATTATGGACAGTCTTGAGGCACCCTATTTTAGAATGGGGTGCCTCAAGACTGTCCATAATTTTAAAGGGTGCCTTGACTGAAAAAAAGTTGAGAAACACGGTTTTATACACATAACAAGTTGTCGTTGGGAGCACATTCTTAAACTGACTGGACTAATCTGTGTACCACATAGCCAGTCTGTGGGAGTTAGAATTATTGTTGGTTAATGGGGGATCAGATATTTATTATACTCCCAGAACTTCAACTCAATTTCTATTATTTGTATCGTGGTTTTTTTTTTTTTTTTTTTTTTGTCCCTGGATGTTTTGGTTGATATTCTGTCTCTATCATTTAACCACTTGACCTCCTGAGGATTTACCCCCCTTAATGACCAGGCCTCTTTTTGCTACTCGGCGCTGCACTAATTCAACTGATAATTGCGCGGTCATGCAATGCTGCACCCAAACGAAATTTACGTCCTTTTTTCACATAAATAGAGCTTTCTTTCGGTGTAATTTGATCACCTGTGCGCTTTTTTATTTTTCACGCTATAAACAAAAAAAGCCAAAAATTTTGAAGAAAAACAATATTTTTTACTTTCAGCTATAAAAAATATATAGTAAACTCAAAGTTGGTTATAAATATAGGCCAAAATGGGATTTTTTTTTTTACCAAAAACATGGAGCAAAATACAATGAGTGTATATTGATTGCTTTGTGTGGAATTTATAGCGTGTACAAACTATGGTATAAATACTGCAATTTACACCATTTTTCTGCTATACAGCGCTGTGCTAGTTTAACGGACAATTGCGCGGTCATGCAATATGGTACATAAATGAAATTTACATCCCTTTTTTCCCCACATATTGAGCTTTCTTTTGGTGGTATTTGATTGCCTGTGCGGTTTTTATTTTTTGCGCTATAAAAAAAGGCTGACAATTTTGAGGGGAAAAAAACAATATTTTGGACTTTTTGCTATAAAACATGTCCAGTAAAAAAAATGCAAAAATCAAATTTAGTCATAAATTTCTGCCAAAATGCATTCTGCGACATGTCTTTGCTAAAAAAAAAAAAAAAAAAAAAAAAAAACAATATGTGTAAATTAATTGGTTTACGTGAAAGTTATAGTGTTTACAAATGGTGGGAAAGATACTGGGATTTTTTTTTTTTTATACTAATTATGGTGGCGATCAGTGACTTATGGCGGGACTGCGGCGGACATTCTGACATTGGGGGGGTACTGACTTGGGGTCACTGACATCCCCAAAAACACTAATACAGTGATCAGTGCAAAAAAAAAAAAACACTGACACTGTACTAATGGCACTGGGGGAGGAAGGGGTTAACTTTATTTTGCAGGGAAGGGTTATCTGAGTGAGGAGTGTTTTACTAGGGGGGGGGGTGCTGGATGGGACAAGGCTGATTGAGAGAGAGAAAAACTCTTCTTTCTATATCAGCTGGTCCTTGAGCTGTCAGGGAAGTGACAGACAGCACAGCTACTGCAGCTGTGCTGTCTGTCACTGTTTGCCGCCAATTGCCAGGAAACAGCCAGTAAATACCGGCTGTGACCCGGCGACTGACATCTGCGGCAGTGATCGGCGGGACAGATAGGGCGGTGTGTGTGTGTGTGTGTATATATATGTGTGTGTGTGTGTGTGTGTGTGTATAATTTATTTTTTTTTTCCCATATATAATAATGTGTCTTCACAAACCCTTTAGCTCATTTTGTCATATATTGTGATGTTTTTAACTTTTTTTTTTTTTTTTTAAAGGTGTGTATTGAAGAAACTGTTGCTCCTGTTTGCACTTTGAAAAATGGTGGTGGAAACTGGATACTATGATATATTGGGTGTTAAACCCAATGCCACACCAGATGAACTGAAAAAAGCCTACAGAAAGCTTGCACTGAAGTATCACCCAGATAAGAACCCCAATGAAGGTGAAAAGGTAAATTTATGTGACGCAGAAGTGCTTTTCTGTTCCTTTGTACAATGCATATTCAGATGTAGCCACGGTTAATACACACTGTCACAGGATAAAGTGGTAGGGTTACACTTTTTTATTTATTTTTTTTTAAGTAGTACAATGAAAAATAGGACACCTTGTTGCTAATTGATGGCTCCATATATCAAGACAAGTAAAATTTTGGACCACAGCTTGGTGTTCAGCCTGCAATAGTTTTTTTTTTTTTTTTTTTTTTGTTTTTTTTAAAGCTATGTGCAAGCTCTAACTTTGTAATTTTCATTTGCTTTCTTGGTTTAACTAATTTTATTCAGAACATTTTGTCATACAAATCCGGGAAGGTTTTACATACTTTGTGACCGGCCATTTTGTTTGCTATTCAGCACTGTGCTACTTTAAGTGGTAATTGCGCAGTCATACAATACTGTACCCAAACAAATTTTATATAATTTTTTTTTTTCACACAAATAGAGCTTTCTTTTGGTATTTGATCACCACTGTTTGTGGTGGTGGTGTTTTTTTTTTTTTTTTGTTTTTTTTTTTGTTTTTTATTATATAAACGAAAAAAGGCCAAACATTAAAAAAAAAAAAATTACTTTCTGCTATTAAAACATATCAAAATAAAAAAACACTAATTATTTCTTCATAAGTTCAGGCCAAAAATGTATTCTACATGTCTGGTAAAAAAAATACCAATTAGTGTTTGCTTTTTGCGTGAAGTTATAGCGTCTAGTATCTAGAGTGTATAGATACTGAAATTTTTTATACTAGTAATGGCGGTGATCAGCGATTTAGTGGGAATGTAATACTGCAGAAGGCAATCTGACACCTGGTGGACACTGATACTGACAACAGTCATCAGTAATACTATATGCTGTCACTGTGCTAATGACACTGGCTGGGAAGGGGTTAACATCTCAGGTAATCAAGGGGTTAACTGCGTGCTTAACAAGTGTTAATGTGTATTATGAGCTGCTTTCTATGGAAAAAAAAAAATCTTTGTTCCTTCTGCCTTCTTTGTCTGATTGTTCCCTCTGTACAGAGCCCTGTGTTTGTCAATACAGCACTGTGGGCTGTGATTGGACACAGCCGATTAGCAGGTCCCGGGCATGAATCTTTTGGCCAAGACCTGCAGAAAAACTCCGCTGTGTCTTATCACAGCGGGAGTCGGCAGGCAGTGGCGCATGTTCGCTGTACCTGGAAGAGGCAAGAGACGTACAGATATGTTGCTGTGCCTGTACGGGCCACCGTTCCGCAGTACATTGCAATCGGGCAGTCATTAAGTGGAGGGGGAAAAAAAATACCTGTTGATCCTGCAAGAAATGCAGTGCTGTCCTTTGTCTTCTGCAGTGTTGTTTGTCTGAAACAATATCGTAAGGAAGTGTACTAAGGCTACATAACATCTCCACCTATGATGTGTTCTGTAGTGTTGGCACACTTACTTTTCTAGGGGGATAACCCTGCTGCTTCAGAAGATGGTACATAAAGCAAGGGTTCTCACCCTAGGATATGGAAGTATTTTCCTGGCAGACACAAAGTGGAAATAAAAGGTAGGCTAGCTTGGAAAAAAATAAAATTGATGCAGACAACACATCTAAGGGCAGGTGAGCTGCAATATAAAATCTTTTTGGTTTTAGATGCACTTTTTAAAAAGGGTTTAGTTATAAAGCAGTGTAACTTTCACCAAACATTCTCTGGTGGTGAAACCATCAGTCATTCAAAACACATGCTCAGCGAACATTCATTACAGTTGAATCTTTCAGATGCAAAAGATTCACTGCTTCATTATACGTCCCTAACTGTCTTCCAAGCAACTGTATCTGCTTCCTGAGGTTTGCACCAGCAATTTAAGTGTTGGGACATGTAACAGAGCTATGAACATTCCCATTTTTTTTTTTTTTCTTTTTTCTTCACAGTTCAAACAGATTTCACAAGCATATGAAGTACTTTCTGATGCAAAGAAAAGGGACTTGTATGACAAAGGTGGAGAACAGGCTATTAAAGAAGGCGGCATGGGAGGAAGTGGATTTGGTTCACCTATGGATATTTTTGACATGTTCTTTGGAGGAGGAGGAAGAATGCAGAGAGAGAGAAGAGGTAATTGGTGTGCATGAATTTTTAATTATGGTAAATGAATGAAGCCAATGGTGTTAAGTTGTATGCTGAAGTTGCATTATTTTCCAGGTAAAAATGTAGTCCATCAGCTATCTGTTTCATTGGAAGATCTATACAATGGAGCAACAAGAAAATTGGCTCTGCAAAAGAATACCATATGTGACAAATGTGAAGGTATGTGGATGTTAAAAAAAAAGTTAAAATGCAAGAACCTTGCTATAGCAAATAAGAATTTTAAAAAGACCATGAAATTTCACTTATAGTTGTACCTGGAAGGCAGAATCTTGTGACTGCTATAATATTGATAAAAATGAATCACTTGCTCACCCTAAAAGCAGTTTCATACATGGAGACACACTGTCAGGTTTGTTGACAACTTCCAAATGTCAAGTGTTTTCCATAAATGTTATATTTGGATTACCATAAAATACATCAGGTGTGTCTGTAGAATATAGCAAGTGCATAGCTGGGTCTCAGGGAAAACGGGAACATTGTGCCATAACAAAAATAAAATGTGGGCCAATGGCTATGAATTGGCAGGTATAGTGAGTTGTGTGGGGTTTTTTTAAACTTAAGATATTGTCAGAACATAGAAGGAAAAATCTGTTATATATTAGGTGGAAAAGATTGCAGTTATTCAGTGCATCCTAAGCAAGGAGGAATGCACACTTTAAAGCATGTTACATGGCTCAGCTCAGAAACAACACACAATAGGAATAATAGCCAGGTAACCTCATATAGTTATTGTAACACAGAAAAACAAATGATTACAGAGAGTATATGAGCATTAGCATAGTGGGGATGAAAGAGGTAAGGTTTCTGTGTACAAAAAGTGCAGATGGAGTTCTTGGATGCTTGAGACCATATTTGCCAGGTTGTAAAGGGCAACTCTAGCTCCCATTATTGCATGTAGAAGTGTATTTGGAGGAAGGCGGGAAGGTGAAGAGATCTATAAAATATGGGAGAGATTAGTTCCTTGCTGTATGGGACATGCAGGCTGAGAGAATGAGAATTAATATTATTGCTTTCAGCTTCTGTTATTGCAGTTGTAAAGCTGTGCACAAGCATGGGTGTATTTAAGCCAGCTGCTTGATTCCCCAGCGTTTTCAAGTCCACTAAATAGCATTTGTGCTTTGTACATCATTATAATGTGTTTTTTGTTGTTTTTTAGGGCAGTCTTTTTAAATCCTTAACTCCACGCCCACCCAGTTCATAATGTTTGTAAATGTTTCTTTATTTAGGCCGTGGTGGCAGAAAGGGAGCTGTGGAGTGCTGTCCAACTGCAGAGGTAGTGGTATGCAGATCAGGATCCATCAAATAGGACCTGGAATGGTTCAGCAGATCCAGTCTGTATGCCCAGAGTGCCAAGGACAAGGGGAAAGGATTAATCCAAAAGACCGGTGCAAGAGTTGCAATGGGCGAAAGATTGTCAGAGAGAAAAAGATTCTTGAAGTTCACATTGACAAAGGTTGGTGAATTTGATAAGTGCTTTCCAACAGAAACTAGTTTTGTGAAATTGAGCACAAGTATAACTGCTTTCCATGAGAACTATTTATGTTTTGAGTAATGCCAGAAAGAGGCAACAGTACGTAACTAAAATTGGTCATGTACCATTGTGCAAGCTTTCCTTTTTTGTAAAAAAAAAAAGTTTAATACATTTGCATAACGCTGCTTTCTTTAGGATACCTGCAGATGTATTTTATTACCTGTCACATTTCAGCCTAAAATAAATTTGGATAAAATATCCAGTGACACCATGCAGTCACAAGCCATTTTAAAGAATGCATTTTAAACTTTGATGTCATTTTACCAAAATAATTTGTACTGGCATCTTTTGATACATTGGCTTTTCGGTGCTGGGATTAACCAGTTACTACAATAGAGCTTCTGCCTTGCACTATGCTGCCACTTTCTGGTCAATGAACAGAGGCTAAAAAAAGGCAGGAATGCCCACCCAGGTATAACCCCTCCCATTTAATCTTGACCTCCGTTTTTAGCTAGTGTTGTGTGATGGATGTCTCTTTAGAATATTTCTTTTGTGGGCTTTAGTTACCCTAACTTTTGGCCTATTGCCACCATCCCTGATGGGATCTTAACTTTTATCTTCTCGGTTTACTGACTTTTTCGAACCATTCAGACATTTCTTATTAAATCTTAGTCTTTTGATTGCCATTTCTTGGGCTTCCAGTGTATCAAAGTTGGCTGCGTTTTCCTGCAGGGATCCTTTTGCTTTTTCACCAAGATGATGATTAGGCTTGACTATAGGCAGCAGTATAACGCAATAGCTAATACTTTGTGTCCTGCCCCCCCCTTTTTTTTTTTCCCATAAGGGACTCTAAAAAGGATTTTACAGGGATTTCAAAAGTCCTATTATCAGACTTGTGCTATGTTTTGACTATACATATCAGTTTAGGTCAGAAATATTTTTTATGCTGGGAAAATCTTGTAACTGTCATCTGTACTATGTTTTTTCATTACTACAGGAATGAAGGACGGTCAGAAAATCACATTTTCTGGTGAAGGAGACCAAGAACCTGGTCTGGAGCCAGGTGATATTATTATTGTACTTGACCAGAAGGATCATGCAATATTTACTAGGTAAAACACTGGCTGTTAACCTATATGATCCGATTGAGATTTTTTCTTTACATGTCTAAAACCTAAAAGCCTAAGTGTTTGTTTTTGTTTGGGGGGGGGGTGGTTTCTGTTTAAAACTGACCTCCAGTTCCCAAATTAACAGTAAGTGGTCACATGATCTGTTCAAGCCTCACTATACACTACATTACTGAATACCTGCAGGGAGGGGGCAATGCTACTCTCCTGGTAACCTGTATGTAGTGTCCTATCCTGAGACTAAATTTCCCTGCATTCCTTAATCCTGCACATCCTGCTGTGATCTATGGGGCACGTGTATTGGTAGGAGAGTGCACATGATTTAGGGTGTAAACTTGATGACCATACAGCAGAGAAATATGCTATGAAGTACATGTTTGACAGCCCATTCAGGCTGATAAAAGCTCTTAAAGCAGTATTAAACCCATAAGCAAGCCTTCATTATATTACAGCTTACCAATTCTTAGATGTGATGACTACATTACTTTTCTAAGCTTTATTTGAAAGAGACAAATTTACCATGGGTAGGGGTGCTTACAGTCTGCTTTTATTTATGTAAAACCTTTTATCCCAAAAGGTAAAAACTGTTGTAATTGCTTATAAAGTATTAGCTGGTGTTGGCTTTTGTTAGTGTAGTTAAATCTGTTTGTACATCTAACACTCCTATCCCCCAAGACTGACAATGCTGCTGTCCAAAGGTGCCCTCTGTGCTCATTCATCCAGAGTGGGGGCTTTATAATACAGGAGGTGTTTTACTGGCCAGATCAGCAGGTAAAAAACCTGAGGGGGAGGCATAGAACAAACTAATGCAGCCACCACATCCAGATGGCAAGCTGCGATTAGATTACACTTTTTGGTTCTGAGATTCCTACTGCTGTAGGAAAGAAATATCCTTTATTGCAGAAATACGAAAGAGTGGATTGCATGCCCTACACTTATAAGCATATAGAATTGAATTAAAATGCACATGCAAAGTGTAGAATTTGTATACAGCTTGTCTGAGCTTTCAGAAAGCAAGAGGTTGGTAGCTGAAGTTAGGGCTCATTGGAGGAAAGGGACATGCTCCATTTCACAGAGCTGAGGCTGTCAATCACAGGCTGTATGTTGGTTCTTCCTTCCTGGTTACTTTTTTTTTTTTTTTTTTTTTTTTTTTTGTTCTTTCTCTTGGTATCAGGAAAACGTGTCAGAAGTTAATCATGCAGGTAGCAGGGGGAGCCAGGCAGCATAGAAAAAGAGCTGTTAATATTTATTTTTTTTTTTTGGTGGGAAAAAAAAAAACCCACAAGCTAATAGCTTCTAGGAGTTAAAAAAAATAAAAACACACACACTATAGAGTGATATGCTTTGTTCATATCTGAGGCTTACGACCCCCTCCAACTCCTGCTACCTATGCTGCTTAATTTGTGAGAAGAAATGTGCATACTTAACCTATTTTTACCTCAGTCTGGTCATGTGATCATCCATCAGTGAGCTGTGACTCCAGGGGGGAGGAGTACTTGACAATGGCTGGGAATTCCGGAGCCATGATGTTACTTATGGCTCCCATGTTGCAGCTGATGTTGTTGCCTGCTGCTGCTGACTTGACATGGGAGCTGGTGTTGCAGATTTTTGCAGCGTAGGTAGTAGGAAGGGGATGAAACCATTTACATTTTTAACCCAGTGTTGGGCAGGAATTCTACTTAAACTTCAATGTATTGTGCACTCACCACATTGAGTTTTTGTGTTCGTGGGGTGTTTTGTTTTTCACTTAATTGCTTTCTGGTTTAATTTTAATTTTGCTCTGCATTGTAGAAGAGGAGATGATCTGTTGATGCACATGGAAATAGAGCTTGTAGAGGCTCTGTGTGGATTTCAGAAACCTATTGTAACTTTGGACAATAGGACCATTATTATTACATCTCATCCTGGTAAGTATGCTGTGAGCATTAGCATTCTAGTTGTGTTTTTATGACCATTTACAGCTTTATAGACTACATCACATTTAATTGTGTTTTTTTTTTTTTTTTTTTACTCTTGTTTTTTTGGCTTGCAGGCCAAATAGTCAAACATGGAGACATTAAATGTGTGCTAAATGAAGGAATGCCCTTCTACCGCCGACCATATGAAAAGGGTCGCCTTATAGTTGAATTCCAGGTAGGTGCATTCAAGTATACCTAAAAGCAAACCGTTTTATTTAGTTTTGAATGGAGTGGGATGGATTAGAATACCTGTTGGGTATTAGGGCTGTCTGTGCCCCCCGTTAGGGAGATTCACCCTCTGTCCTGTTTACCATTATCATATGAAAGTAAACAATCCCCCATTTTTGATTGTCCTTAAAAAAAAAAAAGAGAATGGAAATCTACTAATGAGGACACTAGTTCTGGTGCTGTGGAGGCCCCAAGGGAGTCACTTCAGTTGTAGGAATTTCATCACTTCCTGTTTTTGGCTAGGGGACAGGAAGTTGAGGTAAACCTCCCCCTTTATTCAAAATGGGGGGGATTTCTTATAGTACTACTTTAAGGATTTTCCTTTAAATTAAATGGTCAGTTTATATTCCAAGGGTAGACAGTTTACTGGCCAACCAAGGTCTCTTTGACGCCTACAAGTGAATGGGTTTCTGTAATGCCCACAAACTAAAAAAAAAAAACCCACAAAATGACCACATTTTGGTAAGAAAATGCTACAAGGTCTTAGGTGGTTGTAAAGGCTCAATGTTTGTTTTTGTTTTGGGTTTTTTTTTTCTTTACCTTCAAGCATTATCGCCTAATCCCCCCCTTCATCCAGCGATTGTGTAATGGAATCTCGATTATTCTTGGACAGCATTGGCTCCTGCTGCTGTCAGTTGCAGCCAGTGAGCCAATGAGAGAGAGAGGGGGCAAGGACGAGCCGTAGCTGGGGATTGCACATGCTTGGGTGACCCCATAGCAAGCTGCTTGCAGGGGGTGCACCTAATAGGAGGGAGGAACCAAGAGCACAGGCGGGGGACCTGAGAAGGAGGATCTGGGCTGCTGTGTGCAAAATTACTGTACACAGCAGGTAAGCATGACATGTTTGTTATTTCATCTTTAAAGATAAGACTTTAGAATCACTTTAACTGCTTGCCAACCACGCTATAGCCGAAAGACTGCTACAGCGCGATTGCACCCCGGCGCTGTTGGTGAACACTGTGACCTACAGACACAGCTGATCGTATAACAAGGTAAAAGGTCAGTCACAGCAGCCTTTTACCACATGATCAGCGGTGTCCAGTGACACAGCAGATCACAAAGTTAAATAGTTGCTGATTATCAGCAGCACTTTACTTACGCTATGACAGCGAGAGGAAAGTACTGCCGATATCCGGCAAATGTGACAGAGGAGATCTGCACTGATAATCGGTGCCACCTATAATTGCTGCATATCAATGCATAATCAGTGCTTCTTCATCAATTCCCATCAGTGCAGCCTCATCAACACACATCAGCAAAGGAGAAAAATTGCTTGTTTGCAAATTTTTATAATGGAAACAGACTTTTTTTTTTTTTTTTTTTTTTTATTTGTTTATAGTGCAAAAAATAAATACCCCAGTGGCAATTAAATGCCACCAAAAGAAAGCTCTATTTCATATGGGTACAGTGTTGCATGACTGTGTGCAATTGTCATTCAAAGTGCAACAGCACTGAAAACAGAAAATTAGCCTGGGCAGGAAGGGGGGGGGGGGGGGTGCCTGGTAGGCAAGTGGTTAAGTAGCATGGTGAATCTTTTGGAAAATGTGGAAAGTAAATTTTAAAATTAGTGTGGTGTTTTTTTGTTTTTTCTTCGATAAGCTATTTCTTTCACAGTGCATAGGCATACCTAGAACTATACCACAAAACACATTCTGCTACTCCTGAGCATAAGGATACCACATGTGTGAGACTCGGTGTTCTATTCAATTCTATATATCAAAAAAATCTGCCAATTTTATCAAAAACACTGTAGTGTATTGGTCACCTCTGTACAAGTGGTCAGAGAATATAGCTGTATATAGTGTAGTGTCTCCTATAGCAATATTTGTTCTTATAATTCAAACAAGTCTAACTTACTGATACATAGATGCCACAGGAATGCCGTGTTCATGTGGTTCCAGTGTAGTTTTGTGCAGGAAGTGGCTGGGACTGGTTTTGCTCAGGCATGTAGTTATGTTCAGGTCAATATACAGGCAGAAATGTGGTCCATAAATTGGCCAGGGTCAGTACAGGCTGCAATCAACACTGCACTGGTGAGGCAAAGATCAGGGACACTGGTAGCTGAACTGGCTCTGATGACATTATCACTGGTGTGGCGGTGATCAGGAGCAATGTTGCTGGCTACATTGGTCTGTAGACATTTTTATTAGTGTGATGGTGAACAGACACGCTAATTGGCTGGTCACACTGTCTGTGCGTATCCTTGCATGGATGTCAGATTGGGAGCAGCAGCTGTGTCCTTGCAACTATTGCATCCTAATATATGTCAGTGAGACTGTCTGAATTGTCATGCAGGAAATGCCTGTGCATCCCCATGTGGGTAAACTGCCCTTGCACAGGGTGCGCATTGATGCATCCCATGTGAACAAGACCATGTGGTGATCAGAAACTCATCCCAGAGAACCCAGCTTGACATTCGTGTAGGTGCATGTCCCCGAACTCGCTCACTGTCTGTGTTCAGGCCTTGCACTCGCACAGATGTCAGATTAGGAGCAGTGACTGTGTCCCCAAAAGATGTGAATCGGACTGCATGCACAGGGATCCACAGAACACCTGTGCATCCCCGTGCATGTTAACCCAGCACTTGCACAAGGTACGCATTGATACAGAGTTAAAATAGAAACTATAGGCAAAACTTTTTTTTTTTTTTTTTCCCCATTTTTGAATAGAGCAAAGAAAGATGGTCAAAAGGAAACAACAAAACAAACCACACACAATCTGGCAGCGGTTATCAACCTGTGTCACTTTGCAGAGATTTCCCTGTCCCATAGCCAAAACAGGAAGTTAGAGGAAATCCTTGGAAATTAAGGGAATTCCTTGGAAATTAAGGGAATTCCTTTGGGACCGCCAGGTCACCAGAACTAGTGTCCTCATTGGAAGATTTCCCCTCCTATTACTATTCTGGGGACAAAGCAAAATTTGGAATTTGATTTTACTTTCACTTTTAACAATAAACAGGACCAATTTAAGAGGGTGAAGCTCCTTTAACGGAGGGGCACAGACCTCAATGAAAACTGACACGTGTTCTAATCCATCACCTCTATCCAAAATTAAAAAGAAAAAAATGTGCCTTTTAGTTATACTTTAAAGGACACTGTCTGTTGTATTGAGTATGTAAGGGCTTATTTACACTTGCGGTTATGGAAGGGGTCATAGATAAAAACCCCACAATTAAGCCACGTTTTTACCACTCCCTCAACCACTCTTTAGCTGAGACTGTAGCGTTTGGCAGTAGCATTATGCCTGCCAAGCGTGGCCCATTCAAGTGTACTTTACTGGACAGTGTTCAGGAACAGTATGCCAGCATACATGGTCTCTAAACACTAACCGGAACAATGTCACAGTAGTGACACTGCACTGCTCTAGTAACAAATGTGTGCCTTGATTTTTTTTTTTTTTTTTCCCACTCTTCTCTATAGTACAGTGCCCAGCAGTTTGAATGTGTGATTAGTCGAGCAGAGAGAATGGGAGACGTACCGGTACATACTATTTCCCATTCTTAACCTTCAGCTTGTTAACCCTAAAGCTGAAAAGGCAATCCGAACCCTTAAAACCTCTCCTGTTTATAAAAATTTCAATTCACAATTTTTTTTGTCCATCCTTTACACCCTCAAGTGTATGGTTCAGACCCCTGACTATGGGAGGCCAATTAACAGATTAATATTTTTTTTTTTTTTTTTTTTTTTTTTTTTTTTTTTTCTCGTTTTGTGAGGTTGTGAGTGAGGTTTCCAGACCTGACCACAGTATTCAAAATGAGGTCTCTCTGAACTGCTGTCTAGAGGAATTGGGAGCTTCTTCCTCCTAAAGGATCACCAGCAGGAGGAAAAAGTCCTGATAGAGAAATAGACTTTTATTTAGTTAGGGTACAACATGAAGGGTACACTTAACTGCTTCCTGCCCCTGCTTGTAGAAAAACTCCGGATGGGACATTTGCTGTTCTGGGTGGACATCTATATAACTTACTCCCCAGAATGCGCCTGGGCGCTGGCCCCACATGATGCACTGCAGCAAGATTTGTCATCACAGGGTCCACCAGACACAGCCGATGACAGATTTCCATACCGGGCCACTGCCGGTAGCATGTGATAATCGTGACCAATCAGAGTAGATCACATGACAATTATACACAATGGATGGCTTTCATTCATTCCATTCATTGTGTACTATTGTGTTGCTTGGTGTAAATAGTCACCTGATACACAGGGCTAATCACAGCCCATCTGTACCATCTGAGTGGCTGGGGCAAATCACAGCTAAATCGCAACAACACACACTGAATCTATTTCATTCAGTAAAATGGTTGTTTATAAACAGTGGAAAGAAAAATCCTGATCACTTCCCCAGAGTTGTACATTGTTGCTAAGGTAGCACTATATTGCTCTGGTCACAAAACCCCCTCCCATTTTCAAACATTTACAATGTAAAAAAAAACTCTTCATACCCCTTACTAAATACATTGAATAGTCTACTTTCCAAAAGGGGCTGATTAGTGATATTTCTACTGTCCTGACATTTTTGTGCCTCAAGAAATTAGATCGGCCATCGGTACATCAGGATTGATCGAGTTTCAGATATTGCGAACTCTTAAGTTTTCTTACAGACTAAATAATATACACTGGTTTGGGTTATTTTATACCAAATTAATGTAGCAGAATAGAATACATTTTGGCATAAATTTATGAAGAAAGATTTGCATTGTATGAACGAAATGATAAAAGGGGACAGCGGGCGCACACTTCATGGACCACTTGATTGCTTATAGAAATAAGCACATTTGTGCATAAATCAAAGTGCATAGGAGATTTGGTGTGCCTTTGTGCCTAAAGCTTGGTGGATCATGTGAATTTTAACAGTCACAGGTAAAGTTTCATTTACCAGATCTGAACTTGTGCAATACTATGCTCTTACTTTCTAGGTCAATTTTCCATCCAGTGGGTTCATTTCACCAGATAAGCTACCAATGCTTGAATG